CAGAGTCCCATAGTTCAAGGTTCGCCATGCATCCAGGAAGTACAAAAATGTACCAAACTATGCGACCCCGATTCTGGTGGAATGGGATGAAGAGAGATATAACCGACTTTGTATCTAAGTGCTTGGTATGTCAGCAGGTCAAAGCAGAACATCAACGCCCAGGGGGGTTGCTTCAGCCTTTACCGATTCCAGAATGGAAGTGGGAACACATCACCATGGATTTCGTATCGGGACTACCCAAGGCACGATCGGGACACGATGCCATATGGGTAATTGTTGACCGACTCACTAAGTCTTCCCACTTCCTGGCCATCAGAATGACTGATTCGTTGGACAAGTTGGCAAGAATGTATGTCCGGGAAATAGTCAGACTGCATGGGGTCCCAGTAACAGTGGTATCCGACAGGGATCCCAGATTCACTTCTCGGTTTTGGAATAGTTTCCAGCAAGCTATGGGAACAAAGCTGTCCCTCAGTACTGCCTTCCACCCCCAAACCGATGGACAATCAGAGAGGACAATCCGTACGCTGGAGGATATGCTCCGAGCTTGTGTCCTTGACTCCGGAGGCCATTGGGACGACCATCTACCCCTGATAGAGTTTTCCTACAACAACGGTTACCAAGCAAGCATCGGCATGGCCCCATACGAGGCGCTATACGGTCGTCCGTGCAGGTCACCGATTTGTTGGGAGGAAGTGGGCGATAGAAGATTGTTTGGCCCGGATTTAGTGGAAGAAACCACGTCCAAGATAGTTAAGATCAAAAAGAACATCCAGACGGCTCAGAGTAGGCAAAAGAGCTATGCCGATACCCGGAGGAGAGACCTGGCCTTTGAGAAAGGTGACCGGGTGTTTCTTAAAGTCACCCCCTTCAAGGGAATTAGTAGGTTCGGCAGAAGGGAAAAATTAAACCCCAGATACATTGGACCCTTTGAAATCTTAGACAAGATTGGTACCACTGCCTACAGACTTGCACTGCCCCCTGAGCTCTCCCGGGTTCACAATGTGTTTCATGTATCTATGCTGCGCAAGTACAATCCGGACCCTTCTCATGTCGTGGCTCATAAACCGCTTTCACTCCGAGAGGACTTGTCTTATGAAGAAGTACCGGTCAGTATCACGGACCGAGAAAGCAGAATACTCCGTAACCGGGAAATATCATTTGTAAAAGTCTTGTGGCAGAACCACACGCCTAGGGAGGCGACTTGGGAGCTGGAATCAGAATTTAGGGTCCAACATCCTCATCTGTTTGATCAAGAGTAATGAGGCAAATTTGGGGACCAAATTTCTTTATGGGGGGGAGAGTTGTAGCACCCGGAAAGGAGGAAAAAAAAAAAAAAAAAAAAAAAAAAAGAAAAAGAAAAAGGGGGGGGGCCACGTCAGCAGCCACGTCAGCAGGCCCGGTCAGCAGTCCCGGCCAACCAGGGCCTGCCACGTGGCAAGATCGCGTCACTCCGAAAGGAGCCACGTTGGCGATCCGCGTGGGTGCGATCCGACGGCCCAGATCAATCACGCGATCGGACGGCCCAGATTCAAACGCACGGACGACCCAGATTCAAACGAAATGAACGGCTGTGATCAAAAGGCAAGGGGTTATAAATAGAACCCCCACACCAGACCACAAACCCTAGCCGCCAGCCGCTCGCCGGAGAAGACGAACCAGAGGCCGACCGCCGCCACCCGCCGCCACTCGCCGCCGCACCGGGGAAATTTCCGACCGCCTATCGAGGTAAATTTCATACCCCCGACTCGTTTTTCCCCACTGATTCCTCCTATGGCCAAATCGAAGCTGAAATCCCGGCCAAACGGCCGGAATACGCGGCCGAAGCCCAGCGGCGCCGCCGCGCCCCCTCTCAGTTTTTGCCTCCGACGAGGCCCTTCCTGGCCTCCGTTCGATGCAATTTTTATATCACCGTGATCACCATTCTTTTCTCTACAGGTTGACCGAAGCCAAATCACCAAAACACGAACCTCGCCGGAGGGTCGCCGTACCCGAGAGCGCCGCCGCCGGTAAGCTCCGCTTTTCCGTGATTTTTTGGCCCCCCGAGGGCCCTAGGGTTGTTTTCTGACAAGGACCGATGCGAGTGTGGCCGAATTCGGCCGAAAACGGCCGAAAACAGCCAACCCGAGGCGACTCGCCGCCGCCAGCGGCGGCGCCGTCGCCGGAGCACGGCGGAGCCGCCGTGCCGGAGTTGCGATTTGGGCCGAAAGAGGCCCTGGGCCTAATTTGGATTTTTTTTGGAACACGTGCAGGTACTGTTAGCGTGTTTCAGTTCCCCGGGAAAAATTCAGGGAAAATTAGGGACAGCCTGCAGGCGCACTGTGAATCGTATTCGGATCCCGAAAACAAGTAAGGACCCCTCACCCTATTTCCTATCACGGTATTAAAGTTCAAAATGATAAAACGGTATTTCTTGAATTAACGCATGTGTGAAATTGCTTAAGGTTGCTATTGGAGCCCGAGTCTAGTGTGATTAATGATTTACTGTTGTTTGACATGTTTTACACTGTTTTACAGCTTTAAATGCATTATGGGGTTTGATGTGTTCATTTTATAATTTCGAATGCATATATTACTGTTTTATTAATTATGGGTTGAATGACTGAAGAACTGATACTGTATGTTGTCTGTTCGGCATGAATTACGATTTGCTTGTTTAAATGTGAATTGATGATGCTTATTGAGGAAAAAGGGAAATGAAACATTGTATAGACTGATAATTGTATGATGGGGTCAGCCTGACTAGATATCCTGGGAGATGGTGGACGGACCGGGTCCGTAGGGAACCCTACCGGGATTGTGGTCTCACATGCCGGACGGGGCATGGAGATCTTATGGTTTTGGCGCCCATACCGGACGGGGTATGGGGACGGCCCGTTTCACCCTCATACCGGACGGGGTATTGAGGTTTATGGTTTTGGCGCCCATACCGGACGGGGTATGGGGACGGCCCTGGAAACTGATTATGAATGTTAAAGGTTAATGGGTAGCGGGACCCCTAGGGACCCCCATGGATACTAGTAGGCTGGTAAATGAGAAAAGGATATGTTGTATAATGATTGAATTATAAAAGGCGTGATAAGTACTATGTTTTACAGCTTATATTATTCCATGATTGTGATAATGTTATTATTTTTCTTATATTGTTTTCATAAATTCCACCGAGGTAAGTGGATGGTAAAGGTTTTCATGTTAATAAACGAGTTTATTGTAAATTATGCTCCATTGGTCTTTTTGTGGTTTTCTACCCACCTTTATTTCCGTGACGGTGAGATATCGTGATGTTCTTACTGGGCTAGTGTAGCTCACTCCTTAATTAACCATTTCAGATCAGGAAGACATGGTTCCCGAGCCCGTTCCGCAGGAGGACGACGAAGGGGATGCCTAGAGACTCTGTAGTCATACGCATAGTTTATTTTCGAGTTTTCTTTCTTAGTTAGTTTAACCTTTTATATTTTAAGTACGTTTTTTTTGGGTTTTTTTCGTGTAAGGGATGTTAACTGAAATTTTGATCTTGCTTCCGCATTCGATATATTTAAATACTCATTTCTTTTTTAATATTTTCGGGGCCGTTACATATGTGTGTGCACTATATATATATATGTATATATATATAGATATGAGTGTCCTTTATGGGATTCTTCTTCCATTTTCTTGTGTTGTTTTTATTTGGGGAAGCTAAAAGAGATGGGATTTGTTCCATTCCATTGTCTGTCAATGGAAGAATCTCTTTTGAGCCTTCAAAGTGGTCCTCACTTTTAAGTGTTTCCATTAAAATATATATTTATAAATCAATGTTTACATACATATATATATATTATATATATATACTAACAAATTTTTGGTTGAATAATGGGTATATCTCTTTTTATACATATATATATTATGATTTTAAATGGGATTATGCTTTTTTTCCTATGTTCTTAGTATAAATGTATATGTGTTGTATAAGTAAAAAATATACATGTATTAACAAAAAAGAAGATATGACCATTTGGAATTGGTGCTGATAAAACCCATATGGAATTTTAGTGAGAAATATTATTCAAATAAATGAAAATTTTCATATTTATAAATTATTGTTCACACATATATATATATATACATATACCAATAAATTTTTGGTTGAATAATGGGTATATCTCTTTTTATATATATATATAAAAAAATTATGAATTTAAATCAAATTATATTTTTTCGTATATTCTTAATAAAAACTTGTATTATCGTATTATTTAAATAAAAAATATACATGTATTAACAAAAAAATATATATGATCATCTGAAATTAGTGCCTCTGAAACCCATTTGGGATTTTAGTAAGAAATATTCTTCAAATAAATTAAAATTTCCATAAAATTATATATTTGTAAATGAATTTATACATATATATATATATATATATGTACAGATAAATTTTTAGCTGAATAATTATTATTTTTTCATACAAAAAAATTGTGTGGGTTTGAACTGAATTGTGTATTCTTGTATATTTTCAATAAAAAAAATTGTATTACAATGAGTTTATATAAGTTATTTAAATAAAAAATACATATATTTTTACTCATATCTATATATATATATATACTATTTAATAAATTGTAAACATTTTAAATTTATATAAAAAATTATAGATTCAAAATGAAATTATGTGTTTTTGAATAGAAAATTATGTATATACATATATATATATATATTGTCCAGTTCTCCTCTACCTATGACTTGCTCATTTATTACTTGACAAACTGCTCCTCTCAACCTCTGTCTATGATAATTACTGCCAATTAAAGAATCAAACCAAATGTCATCTTCACCTTCTTTATGTCTTAATCTCTGCCAGCTACACACAATTATTCTTCACAGGGATCCAAAGAATACTCTCTCCAACCTTATATCTCTAACTATGTATATATCTACATCATGGATATATCTAAAAGAAGTCATTATATTATTTGTATATAAGAATATATATATATAAATGGAGATAATTCAAACTGTAATTGATATAAATATATATTATCATTAAGAGGTGGCAACTTCAGTTTCTTTTTACCCCAGTCTGTAAAAATATGAAATTATGTATGATCAGCCTCAGTTGGACATGACTGAGCTAGTTTCCTAAGATTTTCAATGATCATAACCAGCTTTGTATTCAGCCTGTTCACAAAGCATTTGGGCAGCCACCCAGCAGGATCTAACTGCATATACACACACAAAAAAGATAACATTTTTTAATGTCAGATTGCTTGAACTTGGGGAAATGTATAATATATATATATATATATATATATAATATAAATATATATACCTGAACAACATAAGTGACCATACAAGAGTCATCTTCAAGTTTCTCCACAACCCATCCTGACTGCAGCAATAATCCTCTTATTGAATTGCTTTGCTTTGGCTGCAATCCAGCTGCTATCTCTTTTGGCAGTGAAGCTACTGCTACTACCTGCAAATTCCACCCCATTCACTTTTTACTTCAAACTTTCAAAAATTTCAACTTCATGTATAACCTGAAAACATAAGTATACATGTTTGTACCAGGGTGCCATCTTCCATGGTTTCACGCCTTTCGTAAACTATGAACTCCCTGTTTCTGAATAATGGCTTCGAATGATCTCCGAATCTCAGCCGGATTATGCTCAGATTATCATCAACATCTTTTAAGTACCTGGCTTCCACTAAGTCAGAATCCCATTGCTGCTCCAAAACAAATTTGCAGTCTCATCAATCATGTTTAACAAAACACAAACTTGCATCGAATCGTCTGGTAGAAGATTCATAGCTTTTTCGTTCTTAACAGATACACAGATATGTACCTTTTATCTCAATACAGAAATTTTTAACGTCAATGTTAATTATAGAAGATAATCAACCACAAAAGTATTGATTAAAAAAAAAGTTCATACACAAATGAAAACGAATTAGTACGTAAAAGAAAATTAATTAAAAAGGGAAATTCTTAGAATGTTAATAGTTTTTTTTATGAAAAATCATAAATTGACAGTTACGAGAAAAAATTAATTTTTTTTGTCGAAAATTTCCAACATATCTTTCAAATTAAATAATTTGCATCAATAACAACTTGTACTCTTTATCTTAATCCCAAAAACAGGCACCTTTAAGGATGTTATTTGTGTTTCCAGTGCACAGGACAACACACAGTTTACGCATTTTGTTTGTTCAATTTATACGAATTTAGCTCCGGACATCTACTGATAAATAAACTCACCTTGGCAGCATCTATAGCATTGGCAACTGTGATGAACTGCTGAGGCGAGACTGATCTGAGAAGCCTACGACTACGAAAGGTGTAAAGGGATCCAGACCTGCGCTTTGATATCTCCACTCCATTGTCAAGAGTAACCACCTTCCACACATCGTTGCCATCTCCAAACCTGTCGGAGTCTGAGGCAGACAACAATTCCTGTATGCAGCTTTCGCTGGCAAAGTGCACGTACCTTCTCAACGAGTCCTCACTTATGGACCTTTATCAAGAACGTTATTATGCAGAAAATAATAAGATGCCATTAATGAAAACCTAGCTCCAAAAAATTCATGGTTGAATACAACAGTTGTATATTTACCATGACCGACTGCATGATGATGCTGGACTGCCGTTCATAGTCATGAAATGCTTTAAGCTGAAGAAATCAGCAAGCTGAGAGATGAGAGGAGGATATACAGAGGTGTCTATATATATATATATATATATATATGGGTGTATAGTACGTTCATAGCAATGGGAGGAAGAAAAGTAGAGGGTTAAAAAGATTGTTCACAGAGGGAGAAGGTTTGAGAGAAGTGTAAAATAATGGCAAGTGGGCCGAGGTAATTGATGCACATGGAATGCCAGAAGAACCTCCATGATTAGAGGTGCACGTCTTTCTCTCTCTAAAGATAAAAGATAGATTCTTTAGTAGCTAAAAGCAGCAAGAAGCAAGGATAGAGAAGACTATGCACATGGAGTGTTGGTATCTCTTTAAAAAATTAAACTAAACTTCCAAAGGATTATCAGAAAGGCTAAAAACCAAACTCCAGATCCTAATTAACTAAAAAACTTGTCTGCTAATGATATGATTGACCCTGCTCAAAAAAGGTCCCTCAATCACGTGCCATTGACAATGCTTAAATCACAACAGAAAACACAAACATGACAACCAAGGTCCATATGTGAAGTACTCATTGTTTTGTGCCTGGATTTGTTATATACAATGTTTCAATCGCAGAGAAATCAATGTAGGATAACTTTATATATATATAACATGTGGATCATATTATTACCGTTTGAGGCTACACCTCGGATCATAAGTTGGAGTAACTTAGTAGGTGGTAATTGGATCCCTCAGTCATATATTCTGCAGTTTTAGTGGGAGCTGTGGACCCATTCTGCAGTATTTTACATGCTTGGTGTCGCAGGGTGGGCTGCTTAAAGACACCGAACTGAGTTATGCTTATCACTTGTTCATTAATTTATACATAGTAAACAAAAGCGAAAAAAAAAAAAATTATAATGAGATTCCAAAGAAAAAAAAAAGAGAAAGAAAAGTTGGATAAAAAGATGAGAGACTTCCATTAATTAATCGATATAAACAACAAAGTTTCTTTTTAAAAAAATAAATATAAACAACAAAGTTGAAGCCTATAAAAGAATTCTAAGAGTCTCTTTTCCTCTTCTTATTGTCCAAGTGGATGGAACCAAATAAAACTTTAAAAAAAGATGCTAACATTGTAAAGATTTCTGTCCCAGGAAGCCTTTCGCTTTCAGGCTCTCCACGGTCTCACGGACAGCATCTTCAACAGGAGTGAAGACAAGCCCCATTTCAATTAATCTCTTGGCTGCCTCTTCGCATGCAGTTAAGCCCGGTTGTGTTTGACCAGTAAACCTGTACAAGAAGCCAGCATGTATAAGTCTTCCTAAGACAAAAAAAAGTGAAATTATATAGAGAGGGAAAAAAAAAAGAAAGTGTGAACTGGAATTAAAAATAGAAAAAGGTTAGCATTTCTATTTTGTTACATTGCATGGATTTACTGCTTTATTCCAGGTCACTTCTTTTTATTTGTGGGAGGCGTTTAACTTTATCTTTTTTAATTATACTTCAAGGACGGTGGTCCTTGAAAACAAGAAGTAAGGAGGATTTTGAATTATAACTCCAAAAAGGTGATGTAAAATTATGTTCTTGAGGCGGAGAGCTAAGGAGCACAAAGCCAGAATCATTGCTTTCATGTGTATCTTCTTCAGAACTTGGAGATATTATGAAAAATGATAACAAGATAGTATTCCAATCATTACACTTCATTACCAACCCAAGTTTTGGGGGGAAATAGATTTATCACTCCAACCTTAACCATAGTTTACAATATTTGGGGGATAATTGATCTAGAACAAAAAAGTAGAGAGAAAAAAAAGAAGTTACTACTACATATCATTGATTCTCCGCCAGAAATAGCTATATGAGGTGATTACTAAGTCAATTCCCCATGAAAACAGGGAAATGGACTTGCAGAAGCACTAATATTGATTTATTTCAAAAAAAAAAAAAGAATCACTAATATCGATACTTGGACATTCTAAAGTGTAAAATGATTATGCTAAATAATGGATATTCAATGATGCGTTTGAATGAATTGGTTCTGATCAAGGGACCTGACAAAGTCATAAACCTTCAACAATGCTAAATAGTTAGTGGGCATTTGATACACAGTACATGCGTTGGGAACTGAAGTTCGTCAAGATAACAATCAAAAACTGACTTAGTGGGGGTTCACAAAAGTAAATTAAAGAAATTGAAGATTTGACAAAGTAACCACAACATAAGCATAAAAGAGATATGGGCTTTACCCCACTACCCAAACCCCTCAATCTCTCTTCTATTATCCACCATACCCGTGGGAAAAAGAAAATCTAATAGCTAAGGCATATCATCATTGGAAGAGATGAATTCAAATTTTCAATGAGAACTCCCAATTTGAGCAGCAGAACCATTATCACTTGACAATAATGAAAAAATGGGCTCCGAATAACAGGATGGGCACCAACAAAATTTTCATATTGGTATAATTATATGTCAACCCATACACTATGGGCAGTATGATTAATGCACTCATCTAAAATTGTTGTGTACTCCAGGAGCACAACACCTCTTGTATTTGATTGGACCACAAACATTTCTCAAGCCACAGATTTTTCTTCTTACCCAAAGTTAAATGCACCATCAACTACAAAAAGTATTCCAAATTATATGTGCTCCAGCAGCACAAAATAATCTCTCCTCATCTAAGATGATCTTATGTCACTAATTAGTGCTATAAACTGACCAACCCCACCATAAGGCTTCTATTACATACAAGTTCTAGTGATATCCAATTCAATAGCTACTCAGTTCTTCCCTCATATGCCAAATGAGCAAGCAAATTCTAGATGCAGAAAGAAGTAACTTCAGGGCATGTCCCCTTCACAAATATCAACATGCATGCAATCCCTGTCATCAAAGATATGAATGTCATGACTTTGTGTAGTAAACCTGCCCATATATATAAAAAGGGGAGCCAAAGTACTCTAATCGTCAATAGTGGATACTGTAGAGAAGACATAGTTACAAACCTGTGAACTGGAAACTCAGGAAAGAGTTTGGAGACTCTGTCAGCAAAGTCACCAAATTGATAGATGCCGTTGGTGCAAAGATATCTACCAGAAGCAGTAGGAGTCTCAAATAGCAAGAGCTGGGCCTTTGCAACATCTTTGACATGCACAGCACCCAACCAGTGATACTCTTGGGTATCTGTTGAACCCTGCAACAATTGCTGCAACACAGCACAGCTAGCATTCAGACTGGGTTGCAAGAGCGGGCCAAGACACGTAGCTGGATGGATGGCGACCACATCCAATCCATTCTTCTCAGCAAATTCCCATGCTGCTTTCTCTGCCAATGTCTTTGATACTGGATAAAATTTCTGCCAAATTTCAAAGGGTAAGTAGATAACATGGAACAGAAATCAAGCCAAATTGACTTGACGGATAGCAAATCATTGACTTATTATCTGGTCAAACAACAGTGCGTTTATTTAGTGCAAATAATCAATATGACCCCCCAATTTGATATTTCACAATTTCTTATATCCATTGACACAGAGCTTGTACGATAAATCCATGAGTATCCATAATTAAAATTATCTTACTTGGTCAAAAGCCAAAAATCATCATAATTATGAACCAACACTACGCATACCAGGCCAATTATTGACAAAAACAGCATTCATGGACACAGAGCTTGTATGATAAATCCATGGATACCCATAATTAAAAGTACCTCGGTCAAAAACCAAAATTCATCATGTTCACGAACCAACATTACATATACCAGAACATTTTATGACAAAAACAACATTCAATCAACCAATCCATTGAAAATTAAGCCAAAAAGAAAAAAAATCAAAAACCTGTCTAGATTTGCAGTAGTCAAGATCAGTCCAGGAGGACTCATCAAAAACTTTATCATGAGGCCAAGTCGGGTTAGGAACCAAAGCAGAGATGGAGGAGGTAAGAACAACGCGCCTGACACCGAACTTATGAGCGGCCTGAAGAACATTCAGAGTTCCCTGAACAGCAGGAGTAACGAGTTCACGTTCAGGATCTTTTGGAGCTTCGAGAGTACATGGAGAAGCGACATGGAAGACGCCGGAGCAACCTTGAACAGCCTGAGAAACGGCGTCGCAGTCGAGGAGATCGGCGGGGAAGACACGGATGCTGACGTTAGGGTTTGTTGCACCGGGGAGTTGGAAGAGATGAGTCGGGTCGGATCCGGGGAAAATTGAGGCGTGGATGGTAGTGTAGCCGTTGGCCAAGAGTGTACGGACGATCCAGGAGCCAATGAAACCATTGGCGCCGGTAACACAAACAGCTTCCTTTGAATTTTGAACAGCAGCCGCCATGATCGTATCTTCTTCTTCTTCTTCTTCTTCTTAGAGTGAAGTTCTTGTTGAATGAAAGATCAATGTACATACACATAAACATGTATACATATATATATACAGAGAGAGAGAGAAAAAAGTGTGGAATCAAGAGGAATTTGAGTGGAAACCGAACACTTCCCCAGTTCGTCTTCTACCATCAATCAGATTTCTTTTCATCCTCTTTGAGATTCTTAACAAACTTCTTATCCAAAATTTTCAAAATTAATTAGAAGAGTTCTAATTTGTCAAGAATTTTAAGTTCTACATTCTTACTGATTATCCTCTGCAATTTAAATGTATAGTCAATGTCGAATGACGTGTCTCCGTCTAATTGGTTAAAATTGCCACGTCAGCGTACAAACGTTGTGAGTGTTCTCACCCAATAATTTCTCTTTCCATGCACCATAAAACCCAATCGCTGTCCGTATATCCTCCACCGGTTTCAAATTGCTTCTCTGCATTTTCATTTCAATGGCTGCAAGGAGGAGTATCGTGTCGGAATTGGAATCGGTTCAGTCACTGGAACTCAGGTGATGACCTCCGACAAGATCCAGTCTTAAAATCCATTACTCAAGAGTTCAGAATTTAGCCAGAATCAGCAAAATACTCGATCGGTAGCTCATGAGAACTGCTGTTTTGTTTTCGTATAAACTTGGGGGAGTTTGCTACTCGTCTTCTTCGTGCTGCAACATTTTTGTAGTTATGGCGAAGAATAAGAAGTCCAAGTCTTCTTCTTCTGAGGTTTGTCTCTCTCTCTCTCTCTCTCTTCGGTTTCGTTTGTCCTTGTTTCCTCTCTGATATATTGTCGGGTAAAATGATGCGTTAGCTTCAATTTTATGGATAATATATCTGATGTTTTTTATAATTGCTTCACGCAACGTACTGGAATTCTCTTCGAGTTCTTAAACCAATTTCCAAAAGGACGAAAAACAATCATATGGCACCTAGTTCAGGGTTACAAGCTTTGTAATGAACACAATTCAATATTTTCCTACTTTAAAGATGCAAAAATCTGTGCATAATCTGTGTGGCATTTGTAGAAATGTGAGTATTTCCCACTTGTCAATTGCAAGATGTTGCTCTGGCCTACTCTATAGTCTCGACTGAAGTTGTCAACTGTTGTCTCGTTCTTGAAGTGCCTGTTTCATGGGAAGACTGGATACTGGTTAAATTGGTTACACTTGCAGAATGCTGGTAGAATACTAGTTATTAGGTGATTTGGTGTAGGACAAAAAAAGTGTCAACACAAAACTTTGAGACAATTTTTTTAAGAACCAAAATTGAAGATCTCGGATTTAATAGTTAAATCAATATATCAATATTTGTATAATCATCATATGAATAGTCTACTAAATAAGTAAGATGGAGTATTCTGTTTTTATATGCCAACATCAAAATAGGAGTTCTTCTCTATGTAGAAATTCTATGAAGTAGGAGAATAAAAAAATTAATTGGAATATTCTGTAATAGAGGATAACTAAAAAAGATTCAAACTGAATAAGAAATAAGAAACTTATACCATTAATAAATTTATAGATACTAGTTCCTAAATAAGCTAAATACCTTAATAATACTAAATAGTACAATTAGATAAGCATATCTCATTATTAAAACGTGTCCTTTTAGGATCTTATTACTCTGCATCACAACCAATCACACTACTAGTTTTGAAGCCTTACATAGATATGCTCCTCTTGTCCATATTTCATACGTTGCAGGAGATTCAAAGATAGGTTGCCTGGCTATTTACATGGTAGATAAGAAGGAAAAGTAAGGATGCTTAAACATCACCAACCCGGGTACAGCATTGAATAGAGCAATTGGCCTTTGGACATAACATAAAGTGACTTTTAAGCATAGGACATGCTGTCTATATCCAGCTGCAACCATACTGCCAATAGATAGTGGCACAATGCAACAACAAAAAGCTA